TCCATACTTGATAGAAGGCTAGAAATCGCGGGGATTCAATGTCCAGGAATGATAGTGGCATCGTCAGTGGCATATCTTCCAGCCTATGGTTTCTGCGTATCGAGAGGTCTAGTTAAGAGAGTAAAGATGAGTTAGAGACGATGTGATGTCTCGCTTGATGTTCCAGAATAACACAAGGAAATCTATGATGCAAGCAAGTTGAAGGGAGGTTGCAAGTAGTATAAATAGATATATGTAGGTCGCAAGCTAAAGTATGATAGAGCGACAAGGTTTTAGGAAGATAGGAGTATGGACAAGAAAAGGCGAGTGAGAAGGTGACGAGAATGGATAAGTTCTCGGGAATAAGCCCATGAAAACAAGAAAAGCTGATGGTTTCTCTAAGTTATAGAAAGCTCAGTATAGCCTGAATGAACTCAAAGGAGTCTAAGACTAGTAGCATTTAGAAGAGATGGAATGATGCTCTGGTAGTAGAATGATGGTGTGATTATGATAGATAAAGAATGACGTTTGGGCCTTTGATTGAGTAATGACTTGAAGAGGATTTCATGAATTGTATGGGATTAATTTACCCACATAAAGTGAATCACATTGGGATGCTATGAAATACGGTTACGAAAGTATAGTATCGCCCCCAAGTGGGTCAAGAAAATCTTTAAATGTTTCTCAATGCCACGTGAGCCCTAGTAATTACGTAAGAAGTTCCAAGTTAACAGTGGTAAACTGTAGATCAATATTTAGGCAAATCAAAAATGGATGGACAAAAGTCAAAAAATATGAGATGAGATTAAGCCATCATTCTTAAGATGAACAGTAATGAGGGAGCATTAAATTACTTGGATTTATACATATGGGATAAGCAACGAAAGTAACTGGGAGTTTGGTAGCAGACCTCAGTAAGGATAAATTGAGGTAAGAGTTATGGTATAATATGACCTACCTAGGTGCAATAAAGTTATACGGATGGACAAACGAAATAAGGTATAGCAATTTCGTGAGTACAACAAAGTACTGAACGAAGAATTCAATATACCCATAGATGCCCAGAGGGACAGTTTATCAAGCTTTGTATATGTTTACAAAGTGAAGCATAGAGATTGGGTAAAAGCTGGAGGAAAGAGGAGAGGAGAATCGCATAGGCACACATACAAGGACAAAGACGTACATACTACATGATAAAAGGTAGCAATAGCTACGAGATTAGAAGAATTCCGACCACACGCCATGGGGTGAGAAAGAGGCCTACAGGTGATACCCTGGACTTAAGATTTATTCACAGAACAATTACCTTAGAGGGACAAGAAAGTACTAAAGTATCTGCAAGTGCTGTAGGTTATGATAATGATAAGTGCATCAGTCAACATTCGAGGACGAATGTTCCAAAAGGGGGAATGGTGTTACACCTCATATTTTCATATATGAAAGTACACCATAAGTAAATTGATGAAAGTTCGGAAATGAGATGTTACATCTCGCAGTTTTGTATATTAAAGTTTCGTCATAAGATTAATCGATGTAAGCTTGAAAATGGGATTATTTTGAGATTATAAGTATTACGCTACTTCAAACAAGTGATAAGTAAATTCTTGAAGGTGAGAGGGTAAGCGAATCGAAGAGAGTGAATTTCGTCGAAGTTTGTCAATTTGAGATAAAATACAGCCCGCGCTATAATAACCCGTATTTATGGACTAGTGACATACAAGGTACCACATGACAATGATAGTAAGAGGCATAAAGTGTGTTAAAAGTGAGTAGTATTTTAAGTAATTTGAGATAATTCTTAATTATGTGGATATTTGATTAATTATGGATTTTGGTGGAAGATTAACAAGATAATTAAGGACTTGTGGATAAAACTTAAAGGTCTCTAACATAGCAGCCCCAAGAAGCTTTGATAATGAGTCTTAACTCATAAAGAAAGATGGCACAATTAAAAGGGATATGTGACACCAAGTCTTACAAGGTGGGTCCCACACCACCAAGACTAAAACCTCTTTAATTCACAGAAAATGTGTTAGAAATGAGATTCACAACAAAGTGGAAATGGTTACATCAAAATCTCCAAGACATGCAACAACGGGATTCACACAAAATGTGTTAGAAATGAGATTCACAAGAAAATGGAAATGGTTAAATCAAAATGTCCTAGACATGTGTTAGCAACGAGATTCACAACAAAATGGAGATGCGTAATAGCAACGGTATTTGCAATTCTAAGAGGACAAGGTACAGTCTTTCTCAAGAATATCATACGGATTTTCCCTACTTCGATACGTTGTTACGTGTTGTCGCAATTGACATGTGTTAGAGGGATTATCAAGAGAATCGACTCAGGTATGTTAAGGCTACCCCTTCCTTCTTTTTGGCATGATCCAAATAATACAAATGAGATGAGCAAAATATGCAACTTTCATACATGACTCTATTCATAGAAATACTAAAAGTGTCTATATTCTTGATTCCCCATGTGAATTATTATTATATCTTCTGTTCATGGGTCTCAGAAAAATACGTATTTGATAAAGTTTATCCGAAAGGCATATTGATTTTTACGGTATTCTGAGAAAATTTTATTAACGTATTTCTTATGCATTTCATGCATTTATACATGTATATTGACCCATGAACAGATGGCGTTATATACACGTATCTATGTATATTATATTTATATGGGATATGGGAAAAGGTTACGGCGTTATATACGCACCACCACCTGATCAGCTGGTATACGTTGATGATTTTCCCATACTGGCTGAAATGATATGACGGGATGCCCTCAGAGGCTTGATGATATTATGAACGCATGTACCTATGCATGACATGACATCTATATGCATATGCATGACATTAAAAATAAAATGATTCACAGAGCTATGCATACATACATGTCGAGTCTTTTACTCCATGTTTCTCTCATGTCTATTATTTACTGATTTTCATTCCTTACATACTCGGTATATTATTTGACTGACGTCCCTTTTGCCTGGGGACGCTGCGTTTCATGCCCGCAGGTCCCGATAGATAGGTCGAGAGCCTTCTAAGTAGGCTATCAACTCAACGGAAGATTTTGGTGCGCTCTATTTGCTTCGGAGTTACTTGTTTGGTTAGTATGATTTTGGCGTGTATTGTTTGATATGGCGGGACTCTGTCCCGACCTTTATAAAAATTATATATTCTTAGAGGCTTGTAGACAAATGTCATGTACGTAAAAGATTGTATGGCCTTGTCGGCCTATGTTCAGTATACGAGTGGTTATTTTGGTCTTATAGGCCCATATATCTTATGTATAAGTTGGTATCACATGATGTATTCTACTTATATCACGACAGTCTTCCGGCTCAGTTATCTATGATAGTATGACATTAAAGGATACGTTATGTTGGTACGTAGTTGAGTACGGTACCAAGTGCCCGTCGCGACCATCAATTTAGGTCGTGACACCTAGGCCCTCACGGATTTAAAACGCGTCACTAAGGTCTAGTGCTTTTTAATTTATATACCTAGAATCTCTCTTGTATTTTGCCGATATGAGACTATGTCTAAAGTATGGGGTGTTACCCCCGTCTAATCGGGATTTCCTAAACTTAGTTGAACTCTGACCCACCATCGGCATGGCTGACAGAAGAGTGGATCTAATACCATCTGTAACACCCCAGCCCGCTAGTGATATTGTCCGCTATGGGCCTGGCCCTCACGGGTTTAAAACGCGTCACTAGGGTCTAGTGCTTGTTAACTTATATACCTAGAATCTCTTTTGTGTTTTGCCGATGTGAGACTCTGTCTAAAGTCTGGGGTGTTACCCTCGTCTAATCTGGATTTCCTAAACTCAGTTGAACTTTGACCCACCATCGGTATGACTGACACAAGAGTGACTCTGATACCATCTCTAATAGACCAGCCCACTAGTGATATTGTCCGTTATGGGCCAAGGCCCTTACGGGTTTAAAACGCATCACTAGGGTCTAGTGCTTGTTAACTTATATACCTAGAATCCCTCTTGTGTTTTGCCGATATGTGACTCTGTCTAAAGTCTGGGGTATTACATATATTTTTCAATTTGAATGATAATTATGTGAGCCTTCGCAACTCATGTTAGACCTTTGCGCCACGATTCATAGACTCAAGTAAACATTGCACAAGTTTGCCACTTTTCGGATTGGTAATTGAAAGATAGCTGTGAATTCGAATGTAATTAACAGTAATCACTGCTACAGTCTATTTGGCCAAGTTTTTCTAAGGTCAAAAGCACTTTTTTTAAAAAACTTGTGGTGTTTGGCCAAGCTTCTAGGGGGGAAAAGTGCTTTTGAGTAAAAGCAATAATTTTGAGAAACAGAAAAAGTAGTTTCTCCTTTAATGCACTTTTTGAAAAGTGCTTGGAAGCAGGTTTTTTAAAGTTTGGCCAAAAATTAATTGTTGTTCAAAAATACTTCTCAAATTGATTAGTCAAACACAAACTGTTTTTTTAAAGTACACTTTAAAAAAAATACTTGATTTTAGAAGCTTGGCCAAACATGTTATTAAATGCAGGAAGAAAATTTATAATCACTTTCTCACAAGAAATACAAAACAACAACAACAACAACAACAAACCAATATAATCCCACTTAGTGGGGTTTGGGGAGCGTAATGTATACGCAGACCTTACCCCTACCCTGGGATAGAGAGGCTGTTTCCAAATAGACCCCCGACATACTTTCCTCTAAGAACTTCCACCTTGTTCTTGGGGAGAGTCGAACTCACAACCTCTTGATTGGAAGTGGAGGTTGCTTACCATCATAGCAAAATGTACTTTAATATTATAATTTTAATATTAAAATACATTAACACCTTGGCCAAACAGGTTATTAAATGCAGGAAGAAAATATAGAATCCCGAGAATTTACAACATAATATACTGGAGTTCAAATTTTATGCAATTTAAAACTCCAGTACAATTTGTTGGAATTCAAACTTATATAAGTTAAACTCCAGCATTATAAGCTGAAATTTAAACTCCACCACAATGAGCATCCATCTCTGTAACTGGTGATGATTTAGAAACTCAGACAGACAATGCTTCTTTGATTTAGAAAATTCGCACAATGTTTTGAGGTTGAATAATTAATGAGTCATGTGATAATTCTAAAGTCCCCAAATATTCTTACCTTCAAATACCAAATCCTCAACAAACATGTATTAACATATTTCAATCAAAATAATCAACAAACCTAAGTATAAAAATTGAAGCTGTTGTTGGTTATCATCGGCGGTTCTAGTTGCCGAAGATTGGGAAGCTTCACCGGAATAATCGACGGCGACGAACGGGCGATGATACGAAGCTGGATTGGTAAGTTTTACTTTATAATATATATTTGTTTTATCTCTTCTTTCCCAGGATATAACCCGCCCATGTAAAGAAGAGTGGAGGATTATTGATGCGATTTTAAGAAAATGCACAAAAAGTTGGTCTGTGTGATTTTGTTCAAATATAGGATTTTACTTGCACGCCGAGTCCAAATCCTAGTTCCTAAATGAGAAAAAATTTGGGTTTGTCATTGGTATTCCAAATCCATGTCAATATAGGAAGTTGCTTGCTCGCCTATATAATTCTTTTGTTTTGCTCTTTCTCCTTGCCCTAGAAATAGAGAAGCCTCACATCCTCAAACTATGGCGAACTGGGCAGAGTTGCCCATCGATCTGATTACTGAGATTGCAAAGCGTGTTAAAGTGATTGAAGATTTCATTGCTTTTGGTGCCGTTTGTACCTCATGGCGAACTGCTGCCCCAAAGCTTAATTTTGATGTGCTTTCGCCCCAAGTCCCATTGCTTTTGTTAGGTGCCAAAGATGACGATTATCGAGAATTTTACTCTCTTTCCAAGAAGAAACTTTCACTCATATATCTCCCGGAAGCTAGAGGACAAGAGTGTTTACCATCCGAGGGATGGCTTTGCACCGTGGCAAATAATACGGGGGAGATGAACTTGTTGCATCCTTTCTCTCGAATCAAAACACAGCTTCCCTCCCGAAAAGACTTACTGTCTTTTCATGGTTTCGATTATCTCGAAAGACAACGTGAAGGGAAACGTTGGCACTGCATAGACAAAGCTATCTTATCTGCAAATCCATCTCTTACATCAGATTATGCGTTGTTGGTGCACTATTATGCAGGAGGTTCTTGTTTGGCTTTTTGGCGACCCAGAGATCTTAATTGGACGGAGATTGATGTTGTTACTGATGGTGGAGTCTGCAATATGATTTTTTGTAAGGGCCAATTTTATTCCGTGAGTTACCGTGGGGAAGTATGGGTTTATGATATTGCAGGGCCTAGCATTGCTCAACCAAGTGTACAAACACGCTTGCTTGCTGAGCTTGAAGATGATATGTTTAAGCTGCCTTCAGTTCAGTTCTACCTAGTTGAGTTATCTGGTGCATTATTACTTGTTACTCGATATGTCATTTTAGTTGTATGTGTCTTATCTAAAGGTTGGAGGCTGAAGCAGGTTTAATCCCAGGTTCAATAGTAAACAAGTTAGTAAATTTCAGCTATTGTGCACACACTTATATCCCACTTAAGAAGGACCATTTTCTAGCAATATACCTGTAAAATATTTTGCTTGATAATTTCATATGCTGATGTTACGTACGGTGCTCGAGATCAGAAGATGTTATACTTGCATCTGTTACATTGGCAAAGCTGATCAATAAGAATTATGTATATGTTAATATTTGCTTTATATCAGTTTAGCCTTTTGTTGCATTATCGCATTTATTTGATTGACTTGGTTGCTTTGATTCTTTTATATTGAGGTACAACCGACTGAAACTTTTCGATAACTAATCTTTTTAACAACACCAAGGAGGAATTGTCTAGCGATGTTATTGGCTGGTTTTTTACCTCAATTACACACGGGATCAATGAACTCCAGTACAGAATTTATATCATTTTCAACTTTGCAAGTATAACTTGCGTCGCACATGGGAAAATCGACTCATATTCAACGAACTCTTTAAATTTACTAGTATATTATATAATTTTGGTCTTAAGTATGCTAATGCAGCACATCTATATGTGGGGTCCAGCCCACGTTCTAAGGAAGTTGTTTTCTTCCTTTCTTCTTCATTTTCAAAGTTGGCAGAAGCAGACAGCCCACGTTTCTCATTTTTCTGTCAAAAATGACAGGCTGTAGAAGTTGAAAGGTCAAGGTTGGTAGGCATATTTTGCCTATAAAATGAGAGCTTCGGCTCTCATTCTTTCATCACAATCTCAGAGGAAAATATATCTGAGAGCTAGAAAGAAAGAGTGAGGTTTCACAGACACGATATAAGAAAATAGTCTGTGAAGAAAATAGAGAGTGTGAGCAATATTGTAGTGAGGTGAAATATCAAAAGAGGGTTATTTCTTTTGAGTATTGTAGTGGTCTTTGTAGTATTTTACTCGGGCCTATAAAGTGTAAATTCCTTACTATAGTGATATCAGTTGCTCCTCTCGGGGTCGTGGTTTTTCCCTTATTCAGAAGGGTTTTCCACGTAAAAATATTGGTGTCATTGTTACTCTTTTATTCTTGTTAATTACCGTATTTCGGTGCTACATTATTATTCCCCTTTTATTACCGTGAATATTATTTTGGTAGGGGGTTTATTCCCAACAACTGGTATCAGAGCATAGGTTCTGCTCGTTCACTGAAATACTATTCACTGTCGGTAGTACTATACTTGGTGAAAAATAAAAATGTCCGAAGTAAATTACGAGGTAGCAAAATTCAACGGAGATAACGGTTTCTCAACATGACAAAGAAGGATGAGAGATCTGCTCATCCAACAAAGATTACACAAGGTTCTAGATGTTGATTCCAAAAAGCCTGATACCATGAAAGCTGAGGATTGGCCTGACTTGGATGAAAGAGCTGCTAGTGCAATCAGGTTGCACTTATCAGATGATGTGGTAAATAACATCATTGATGAAGACACTGCACGTGGAATTTGGACAAGGTTGGAAAGCCTATACATGTCCAAAACGCTGACAAATAAATTGTACCTGAAGAAGCAGTTATACGCCCTACACATGAGTGAAGGTACGAATTTTTTGTCACATTTAAATGTGTTTAACGGACTAATCACACAGCTTGCCAACCTCGGAGTGAAAATCGAGGAAGAAGATAAAGCCATCTTGCTATTGAACTCGTTGCCATCTTCGTACGATAATTTGGCAACAACCATCCTGCACGGTAAGACTACTATTGAGTTGAAAGATGTCACATCGGCTCTTCTACTCAATGAGAAGATGAGAAAGAAGCCTGAAAATCAAGGACAGGCTCTCATCACAGAAGGTAGAGGCAGGAGTTATCAAAGGAGTTCGAACAACTATGGTAGATCCGGAGCTCGTGGGAAGTCAAAGAACCGATCCAAATCAAGAGTCAGAAATTGCTACAACTGTAATCAACCAGGTCACTTCAAAAGAGATTGCCCAAATCCAAGGAAGGGCAAAGGTGAAACCAGTGGCCAGAAGAATGACGACAACACAGCCGCCATGGTGCAAAATAATGATAATGTTGTCCTCTTTATAAATGAGTAAGAGGAATGCATGCACCTGTCAGGTCCAGAGTCGGAATGGGTGGTTGACACAGCGGCATCTTACCATGCCACACCGGTAAGAGATCTTTTTTGCAGATATGTAGCAGGTGATTTCGGCACAGTGAAAATGGGTAACACAAGTTACTCAAAGATTGCGGGGATTGGTGACATTTGTATCAAGACAAATGTCGGATGCACATTGGTTCTAAAGGATGTGCGGCATGTACCTGATTTGCGGATGAACTTGATCTCGGGAATTGCTTTAGACCGAGATGGATACGAGAGCTATTTTGCAAATCAAAAGTGGAGACTCACTAAGGGATCATTGGTGATTGCAAAGGGAGTTGCTCGTGGCATGTTGTACAGGACAAATGCAGAAATATGCCAAGGTGAATTGAACGCAGTACAAGATGAGATTTTTGCAGATTTGTGGCACAAAAGAATGAGTCATATGAGCGAAAAGGGATTGCAAATTCTTGCCAAGAAATCACTCATTTCTTAGGTACAACGGTAAAACCTTGTGACTACTGTTTATTTGGTAAGCAGCATATAGTCTCATTTCAGACATCATCTGAAAGAAAATTGAATACACTTGATTTAGTATATTCTGATATTTGTGGCCCAATGGAAATTGAATCAATGTGTGGTAACAAATATTTTGTTACTTTTATTGATGATACTTCACGAAAATTATGGGTTTATATTTTGAAAACCAAAAATCAGGTGTTTCAAGTTTTCCAGAAGTTTCATGCTCTAGTAGAAAGGGAGACGGGTCGAAAGCTAAAGCGTCTCCGAAGTGACAATAGAGGTGAGTACACTTCAAGGGAATTTGAAGAGTATTGTTCAAGTCACGGGATCAGGCATGAAAAGACAGTTCCTGGAACACCACAGCATAATGGCGTAGCCGAGAGGATGAACCGCAGCATTGTGGAGAAGGTGAGAAGCATGCTCAGAATGGCTAAACTGCCTAAGTCATTCTGGGGTGAAGCAGTTCAGACAACCTGTTACCTGATCAATAGGAGTCCATCAGTTCCGTTAGCGTTTAAAATCCCAAAGAGGGTTTGGACCAACAAGGAGGTGTCCTACTCGCATTTGAAGGTGTTCGGTTGCAGAGCTTTTGCACATGTACCAAAAGAGTAGAGAACAAAGCTGGATGATAAATTTGTTCCCTGCATACGGATATGGAGATGAAGAGTTCGGGTACAGACTGTGAGATCCTGTAAAGAAGAAGGTCATCAGAAACAGAGATGTAGTCTTCCGAGAAAGTGAAATTGGAACTGCTGTTGATATGACAGAAAAGGCGAAGAATGGTATAATTCCTAACATTGTTACTATTCCTTCTACTTCTAATAATCCCACAAGTGCAGAAAGTACGACCGACGAGGTTGCCGAGCAGGGGGAGCAACCTGGTGAGGTTATTGAGCAGAGGGAGCAACTTGATGAAGGTGTCGAGGAAGTGGAGCACCCCACTCAGGGAGAAGAACAACCTCAACCTTTGAGGAGCTCAGAGAGGCCAAGGGTAGAGTCATGCAGGTACCCTTCCACAGAGTATGTCCTCATCAGTGATGAGGGGGAGCCAGAAAGTCTTAAGGAGGTGTTGTCCCATCCAGAAAAGAACCAGTGGATGAAAGCTATGCAAGAAGAGATGGAATCTCTACAGAAAAATGGCACATACAAGCTGGTTGAACTTCCAAAGGGTAAAAGACCACTCAAATGCAAATGGGTCTTTAAACTCAAGAAAGCTGGTTAATATATTTCAATGTATTTTCATGTATTTCATTGTATTCATTGTTTTGTTTTTTTCATTGTAATTCAATGTATCTCGTTGTATTCCATGTATTTCATTGTATGCACTTTGCTCATTGTATTTGAATGTATCCCGCTATATTCTATATATTTCATTGTATTCACTGTCTCGCCATATGCGTGAATGTATTCATAAGTTTTTTTTAATTAATATAATTTATGTATTCAGATGTATTATATAATTTCTCTGAAGATTGCTATGTTTTGGGGGTATTTTTCGGTTGAGAATCTTTTTTATAACTGAAAATACAAAATTTGTGTATTATAATTGATTTTGTTGATTATATTAGGAGTCTATTATGTTAATTGATTCACTTTCCGCTTTAAAAATAGTGTAATCCCTTATTTCACGCCGTGAATACAGTCGAATACAATAATCTGTCCAGCTGTAATCCCATGTTTCACTCCTTGAATACAGTCGAATACACTCAAATACAACAACTGATTAGCTGGACTTCCCTGATTTACGCCTATTTTTGCTATTGTATTCATGAATACAATAGCTTAAATACATCAAATACATCTTATAACCACATAAAAGGTATCTATAATCCGTAATATAGCAAATGGTATCTATAGATGGCTAATTACTACTAAAAGATAGTGCTTTATGAAAATTTCTCTTTATTTAAGGGATCAAATTACTTTAATACAAACTTATTTATCCGCTTTATTTAAAGTTTCCTATTCACCAAAGCTAACTGGTTTTTCTTTAAAAGATTGTATATATTTTTCCTTAAAGGCTCTCAAACCATAATTAGCGTCTTCAATTAAAGGATTCAGTGAAGTCTCTTTTCCTTCAATTATCGTCTGCCAGTTGCTTCATTCAATGTTTAGTGGGAGTTGATAATAATCAGTGGCGGACCTAGAATTTTATATAAGCGGGTTCAAGTAAACACTAAAACCGCAATTGACAATCGACAATAAGAAATGGTGTTTTTTTTTCTATTCCCATACTACCCCTAATAATATCGTTTGAGGTGGTAAGCAATTTAAAAACAAATAAATAGTTAGATAAAATAAAATATATCAAAATTTACCTACTTATAAATAATTAAAAAAAAATAACAGGGATCTTTCATTTCTGTACATAGGCAAGGCATAAAGGAAAATAAAGAAAGAAAACAAGTGCTAACACAAAAGAAAACAAATATATCAATTTTTTATAAGACTTAAAAAGTTTCCGCTCGTGTTCGATGTTAATTTATATGTTTTAGTTTTATAATTAGTTAATTAAGTAACAATGTAGCAATTTTGAAACACCATAAATAAAATGTAAACAAAATAAATAAACAATTTAAAACTTAAACAATAAATAAGTAAATAAAAACAACTTATCTACCTTCATGTGTAACAA